AACGTTAACTTACTGTTGGTCAAATTTGCAAATATTTTACTATTTTTAACATAACTCTTTACTTTATATAATCTTTCTTCTTTCTTTGCTATTGCTACTAATGAACCATTGACATCATATATTTTAGAGAACTTTTCTTTTGAAACTATTTTATGATTATCAGTAATCTTCGAATAACTTAATAAATTTGCTTTCATTTCTTTTACATAAAATACATTCTTCAATGTTACGATAGATTCAGAGTTATATACAGAAAAAGAAACAATTATATTGCCAACCTTTGTAGCTTTCAAAATCCTTCTGTCACCGACTTTTACTTGAATAGGATCCTTCAAAGTGACTTGCTCTTTGAAATATTCATCACTGTTTATAATGTGGTCTGTGCATCCGCTATCCAGTAACCAATTGATTTCATGATTTCATTTTTATTCATCACAGTATTTGCACTGGAACTTGTCATGTTACTTTCGATAACAGTGGGGTGAAAACTATTGCCTTGATGACTGTTTATTCTATGGTTAGAGTATGCTCCACGTTCACGATGTCCACTAAAAGCACGACTACGTCCTCGGTTGTTTGAAGAACTTCGACCACGATAATTAGTGGAGCCATTACCACGATAGTTCCTTTGATGGACATGCCAACAATTCTTTTTAATGTGACCAGGTTTTCCACAATTATAACAGACATTCCCTTGTGGACCCGATTTGCTTGTTTCAATTTTGAACGCATTTGATTTTTCTGCTGGTGCACAATCTTCATAATCATTTTTCTCTTCAAGTAATTTTGATTTGATTTTGCTCTTTAGGTAATCGACTGTTCTGTCCTTCTCTGGTAATACATCTATTAAGTCACCAATGTGACTGTAATTTGAAGGTAATGCTCTTAGCATATAGTTCAATTTTTCTTGTTCCGTCACGGTGGCGCCGGCATGTTTCAGTTCGTTCACATACTTCTCAAAATCATCGAAAAATATATTTACATCAGGATAATTTTTCAGTTTCACACATTCTAAGTTATTTCGACAAACAATTTGTAGAGATGTTGAAGTTTTTAAATACATTGCATCAAATTTCGTAATTATATCAAATGCAGTCTCACACTCGTGAGTATTCCAATTGCTTGTTTGTTATGGCGCCGTAAATGTAATTTGTAGCTTGGATATCCTTTTCTTCCCATTTTTCCACGTCATCGTTTTCACCGACTTTTCGCTGAACCACATCTTTACACTTTTTAAATTGAAGAAATTTCATCATACGCACTTTCCAATTAAAATAGTCCGAACCATCAAATAATGGTATGCCGATATCACTGCTTCTTGTACATGCCATTTTTATGCTAGTACGGTAAATTTTAAAACAAATTATAACTACTAAATTCTTCATTCATATTCACAAACCACGAGAACTGCTACCTAGTAAATAAATCGATATCATATGGAGAAGCAAGTCGAAAAATAAGAAAAGTATCTTTTCACTTTCTTTATTGAAACTTAACAACACGTGCACAACATTACAACGGCATACATAGCTCGCATGCAGAGATAGAACTTGGTGTTGCCAACATGGTAAATATAAATGTACCAAACTAACAAAGATTGTGGCAACAGCCATCTTCTTAAAAGATCCCACATTTGTTCAGTGAGATTTAAATCAGCTGAACATGCTGGTTGATCCATTTTGTGGATATACTTACTTTTCAGGAGCACCTCAATAGCATGAGTAATGTGTGGTTGTGCATTGTCATTTATCAAAGCCAAGCCAAAAGCAACAGCATCCTGGATAATGTTCCTAATGGTTCAAGGTTAACACCTGTGTTGCCAACTTGCTCAGCAAAATTTTTCTTTTCCTCTGGCGTACGGTGTATCTTTACTTTTCGAAATGCCCTCGTATTCCCCCTTCAGCATGAATTTTTCTTGGCATTCTGCCAGATACAGACCACATCACTTTGGGTACAAGTACTTGTTGAACAGTTTTTATGTAAGAAGGGAGCGGAAAATTTTTGAAAATGGCACCTAAACTGCACAGAAGCTATACTGCTGGTTTTAAACTTAATATAATTTCACTTGCTAAACAAATTGGAAATAGAGCAGCAGCTCGAGAGTTTGAAGTGGATGAGAGATGTATTCGACATTGGAGAACTGAAAAAGAACTTAAAAATATGCCACAACAGAAATGAGCCAAAAGAAGTGATACTACTGTAAGGTGGCCGAATCTAGAGGATGACCTTGCAAACTGGATAAAGGAGCAACGAGGAAAGGTAATGGCAATTTCAACTGTAAAAATTCGATTACAAGCAAAATTTATAGCAAAACAAATAAACATAAACGATTTCAAAGGAGGGCCTTGCTGGTGTAGCAGATTTATGAAAAGAAAGAATATTTCTGTGCATACTAGAACAACAGTCTGGCAAGAATTACCAATGGACTGGCAGGATAAAAAGGCATCTTTTCTAAGATATGTGACAGATATTATTGACCCCCCCAAAAAAAAAACTTCGGTCACAGATAATAAATATGGATGAAACACTGTTAGCTTTTGACTCTCCTGCAAACAGAACTGTTGATGAAACTGGTGCAAAAACTGTATCTGTGCTTACGACGGGGCTTGAAAGAACATCATTTACATGTGTGTTAGCTTGTGCCGCAAACAGTGATAAGCTAAAGCCGATGATCATTTTTAAACAAAAGTCTATTCCGAAGGGAGATTTTCCTAATGACGTAATTATTTGTGCAAATGAGAATGGCTGGATGTGTGAAACAATCATCATGAGTGGCTACAAAAAGTTTGGCAGTGTAGTAGGGGATCTTTTTTCCAACCAAAAGGGTTATTGATAATGGATTCCATGCGTGCTCATTTACTTGAGTCAGTGAAAACCAGATGTCAAAAATTGTCTACGACCATAGCAATAATTTCTGGTGGTTTGACAAAAATCTTACAACCATTAGATTTGTCAGGTAATAAATCATTCAAAGCTGAAGTCCGAAAGTGGTGGGAGTGTTGGATGAGTGAAGGATCACATACGTATACCAAAAGAAGTAAAATTCGTAGAGCATCTTATGAAGAAGTTGCAAAGTGAGTAGGAAGTGCGTGGAAATCGGTAAAACATCATCAATAATAGCAGGGTTCATAGAAGTTGAAATTACATCCTTAGATAAAGAGACTGTAAACCAAGAGTGTGAATGTGATGATCTGGAAGACTTGGACTTCAATCAGGATTTACTAAATCTTTTTAATTCAGATTGTGAAGAATCAGATTTTGATGGCTTCATGTGATGTATAGTTTGCTGTAATTCGTTTTGTAAGTAAAATTAAAAATTTCCTTTTGTAATCCAAATTTAATATTTCGTTGTTGCAACATTTTTTATAATATAGTCTGAGTATTACAAATGGACTTCTTTAGTGGGTAAATATAAGTATATACGTGAACGTAAATATATTTTCAACATTTCTTACCTTTAATTTATTTTTGACTTATGGTTTCATTTCATGCATTTTTCTTAACTGATATGTAATATATCAGGATTTAGGTTGAGATTTTGCATCTATACGGCCCATGACGATGTCACGCACAATTTGATCTATTGCAGCATTTAGCTGATGCGGCGTTTCTGTGTAATTTAAATTTTTTTCCTGCCATTTTTCTCGAGTGCGGCTGATGCGGCCTTTCTTCTGTAAATTACGGTACTTGCCCACAAGAAACTGTTGAAACCATTCACAAAACTGAATTCATTTTCCAGTGTCACTGGGGACTAATTGTTAAACCACTTTCATTTTATATGGGATGAGACCGACTTTCTCTTGAATGGCCTGATGTGCTGGGGTTATGTAGTATTGCATCCGATATATCCAGCAATTTTTCTTCAGTGAGTAAAACTGATGGTCTCCCACTTCATGGATAATCATTTACTGTTCCGCTGTCCCTAAATCTCTTCATAAGTAATCTGACACTGTTTCGATTAGGCACAGGTGTACCAGGAAATTTAATGGCAAACTGCTCTTTCACCATCTGTGTGTACTTGCCATGATCATGGAATACATATTCAATGAGGAATATTCACTGTTGTAAGGTTAGCACCATCCTTACTACAGAAGGAAAGCACTAAACTGGAATTACCCTGTTCAAATGCAAGGATGTGCAACAGTATGCTACACACACTCCCCTTCTCAATGTCAGCAAGCAAACTGTCTCAGATAAACAGCTGCAGTGAAACCAACTGCATAAAGCATTGTAACTAACTGTTACATAAAATATTCCCTCAAAACGCATTGGTTTGAAAAATATTTCATCATATAAATGTATCCATTGGTAATGATGCATATGCATAGTTATTTTCTGAATGCACTGTAGTTTTTCTGGAAATATTCTGCTTATACGTATCCCTTTTTTGTGTGTTGAAATTGGTTTCTGTAGATGCATATTAGACTCAGCAGTAACATTTTTTTACAGTAGTTTTTGATATAACAAACCTCTTTAATATCTCTTTGTCTTTAAGTTTCCTTTATGTCTCACAGTTGTGTCTTACAGATTGTGTTTTGCTGAGAATGTTTTATACTGTCATGTGTTTAGACACACTGCTTCTCAACATCTCCAGTAATTTTATAACTGAGGTTACAGATGCACCAGTGAAACAGGCATCAGTAATCTGATGTCTTTGGAATTCAGTCTGTCATTTTTTGTCATTATGAATGGAGTTTTTACAAAGCATAGCTGAAATATGAAGTTTTATCTACCTCTTGAGAATGCATTTAAAATAATCATGCAAGTAAAATTGTGGCTACGTTTAAAGGTTACTATGTAATCAGTATAAATAAAATTAACTGTTTTTAGCATAGTGTCTCCTACTACTTTGAAGATCTCCTGTACTTTACCTTTTGTCACTCATAACTGCATTTCAATTGTAAAAAACTCATGTGTTTGGAATTGTTTCTAGTATTTTTTATTTATTTATTTATTTATTTATTATATTATTATTATTATTATTATTATTATTTTTGTAGGCATTTTACTGTGAACAAAGGAGGAGGGTAGTTGCAATAAAATATGGAGAATTCCAGATCGATAATCATATTTTGAATCTGTATCCAGAACAAGATATTCTACAGGTATTAATAAATGATTTTATAACTTCCTTTTAATATTGGCTCAGTAGAAGTTTTACCCACAAAATATTCCTCTTTCCCCACAGAGGTGTTTTCCACAGAGAATCTTTGATACATTTTATTAGTCTTTCCCTATCATGTAAAGTACAAAGTAAATGGCACTATATCAGTTCCAGTTGTAGTGTATTCATCAGAAATTTGTATCTTTATCAGATGCCTAGTGGTTGAATAATAATACAGTGAATCCATTCCCCAAGGCTGTTCATCATCTGAAAAGCTTATAAACTGGAAATGCTTTTGCCATCGAAATTCACATAAAATAGATCAGTAATTTTTTCATGAACTGCAAAGTGATTACATACTTAAAACTTTACAATAGTATTAAGCATTTAATTTTTTGTTTTTTGCCACTGCCGGTAGCATCAGAAATGAGAAACCAGAATATATGCATTTAGAGAAGGGGTGGGCAAATACTTTTTTAACCATAGGCAAAAAGGTCTTTAGTGCATCATGCAAGCAGGGTCATTGTAAGGTGCAAAGGTATTTGTTTGACGATCTGTAGTGTTGCCTCTTTTGTTTCCCAGGACGTGATGAAGGAAAACATCCCTTCTGGGTAGAAAAATTTTTAAAAATTATTATCTCAAATACCATTTTGTACACTTAATTTCATATTTCTTACTTAATAAACCCAAAAAGTGAACATGGGGTCACGACAGCTCTGTGTGGGGATCAACCAATGAAATATAAAATGTTCTTAATAATTTCGAGGAGTATAAAGCAAAGAGAATGCGTCAATGATTAATCAAACATTTTTATAAAATTATAGATTAGCATACATTATTTTTATTGTAAAATTGTGTTGTAAATAATTATTAATTAATGTGTACTTAATGTGAGATGTGAAATCTCAAATGCTTATTTGTGATTGTTTCATCTAAATTAGATTCCAGCTCACTTGTGGCAATCCTTAGTATCAAAGTGCTTTCCATCTTCTGGAGAGAAATGACGAATGAAGAACTGGGTGTAATTGATTATTTTGCTGCTTTCATATGGTTGGATTACTGGTAATTTGCAGTTTCGCCAAATCCACCCTAAATGGGATTTATTCCTGCTGGTCATCAGATAATTGAAATGTGCACTGTTTCATTTTAAAATAAAAATTCAGATGTTAGGTGTTCTTTTCCTAAGTTCTCTTTTCTGATCAGTCTTTATTTCAACAATATTCATATTTCATTGTTTAATTTCTGAATTACAACTGCTAGAAATGATAGAACTGTATTCTTTGATGGATGTTCTTGTTTTCTAATGAATACTGTTCTCAGCTTACCTTAACCACTAACATATAACAAATTTATATGCAGATGTACACTGTAACAATAGATGCACACTAAAGCTTTGGTAGTTTGTGCTTAAAATCAGGTAGGACAGAGCTAAAATGTCATTACACAGGATTTCATAATAGGGCAGATTAAACAATTAAAAACACTGCATTCCGCCTACTGACCAGCTTTTGCCAACCCCTTATCTAGACTAAACATAAGGATGAACTGCTAGTAATGTAAATATAAGAGTTTCCTGCAGACATGTATGTTTTTGGTAGCCTTCATGTTCTGCAACATAATTATCCATTGTGTATCTAGTCATAAATGCTAGTCTGATTATTAAACACAGTAAACCCCTGCAGAACATGAGTTAGGTCATTAATACATAGTGCATATGGCAAAATCACGTTCTGCGAAGTTCTGTGGAAAAATTTGCTATGTGTAATTTAGGTTATGAAAGTATGTATAACTTAAACAAACATGAATTTTGTTGCAATTAAAAAGGAAACAAATGTAAATTGAAGGGTTTTTATTTTTTCTTAATAAATATATGATACAGTTATTTTTTTTAATACAGTTGTTGATTTTTGCTTGGGAGTAATGATTAACGAAACTCTTTAAAAGTTTTGTGGCAAGGAGTGCAGAATTTTTCAATGCTTCTCGAAAAGTGTCTTCTTTTTATTATTGTTATTCCATCACAAAATCAAACAGCTCGTTTGCCCTTTTTTAACGATTCATTTAACAATTTATGAGTCACTTTATTTTCTCCTTTGTTATAACTTCTCCACTTTATTGTGGTTTTGCAATCAACTGGTATTAAAGATCATCAAATTCTTCATTCGTCATTTCTTAATTAATTCTTTGACTTTTCCTTCTTCTATATCTTAAAATCCTTTGCCACCAAATGCTTTTGCAATTGGTAGGATTTCATTGGCTTCATTTTCAAAATCCTCAGATGTTTATGAAAATTCTTTAAAATTGTTGAATAACTTCTGACTAGAACTGATGTCAGCAAACATTCAGTGTTGATGAATGAATGGTGAACTGCATATTACTGAAATTCTACCATTGGTCAAATTAAATGGAAAGAGTTAAGAAAATGTGCGTATGCAATATTGCATTCTGCAAATCCATGCTCAGCTAGGGTTTGTTGTATATTAATTTGTGAGAACGGAAATTTCTCACACCACGCAGTTCATCATCATGGACACTATCGTAACATTAATCGTAATCACTACCACGTGCATAAATACACAGCAAACAGGTTTCCCTCTCTTTGCTGACTGCGTCTTGAATGAGTATGCGGGGCTGCGGCCATTGCATATCTCACACTCGTGGAATGATGTCTTTTTTTGATGGAGAAGAAGGAGCGAAGCAGCGTGAGAATTGCACAAATTAGCCTGAAAGATTATGTTGAAAATTAATCCAGCTATAAAATAATTATGCTAAAAATTGAACTGTCTTGAAATAAATTGTTAATGTGTGTTTCGCATTAAGAAATTGCCTCTATTGACGTTTCGCTTGTCTCCTTGTAGATTTTACCTTGTGCTGACCAGAATAATGTGTGTAAAAAAAAGAATAATATGTGCGTATATAAAGCAACATCTGCAAGCTATTTAGATAACGTGGAAGTATTTCCAATGCGAAAAGTGAACGATGAAATAAGATATAAATTTTGCTTTCGATCTTCTAGACAGCGCCCTTCTCGTGTCCTTCTGTTCTTGAGTTTTTTGTGTGCTATGCTATCAAATTGATATATTTAATCCAGATAATGTTTAAATAATTGAACAAAGAGAGATTGAGAAAAGAAATGTGTCTCCGCAAGTCTCTTGCATATGTGTTTGTAGGTAAGTGAAGTAATTTTATTATTCTGTATTTTAGGGTTACAATGCAATGTACGACATATTTTTTTTTCAGGCCAGTAAATATTGGGCACGTGTAACTTTGATTTAATTCTTGTAAGTATCTAGTTAAATAGTTTTTTCGACACAACACAACATAATTCTTACAGTTTAAAGTTTTTCAGCCTTAAAAGAAGTTTTCAAGAGATATATTACACATTCAAACTTTATCTACCTGAAACTGCTTTACTGATCCAGTTTCACTAATAACAGTGGACAACAAATTTGAACTTTTTTTCAGTATCCTTGATACAAAACACACTTTTCGTTGGAAATTGTGGTGATAAATATGAAAACAACAATGAAATTAAAAAATTAGATTAATTTTTTAAATACATTTTTAAAAAAGTGCTTAACGCAAAATACATGTTCATTTTGCTACTGGGTGATACACTACATCAGGAGCATCTCTAACAAGTGTCCAACAATAATCAGCAAGCATGGAAGGGCTCCATTTTCCCTGATATCATTTCTCCACTTCTGCAATGTCCTGGTGGAAGTGCTCACCATGTTCATCAATAACTGCACCACAGTTATCTGGGAAAAATCTAGGTGAGAATCAAGAAAATATATGCAAAGACATGTTCCAACCTAGTTTTTAATATGGTAACATTAGTTCCTCCACAGTTTCAGTGTAGTTTTCAGACTTCTTATTTTCTGGGAAGTTAGTTACTGTTTCTTGAAAATTTATTTAAGCATTCTTCTCATCACCTGTTAATATATTTTCAAAACATTTGTCCTTGTAGAGATTTTGGATTTGTGGCCCAACAAAAATGCCTTCCTTTATTTTTGCTTGACTTAGCCCATGAAATTTCCCTTGAGGATATTAAAATGCCGGACCATTTTTATCCATTGCTTTCACAGACTTCTTTATTAGCCCTAATTTTCTGTGTAGTGATGGTAGTAATGCCTTTGTTGGGTCAATCAATGGCACATGCTGCACCTTCTTTTCTCCTGGTTTGAAGGACTGCAATCCTGGTAAGAGAACAGTTGCTTTGAAATCTGCACACTTTTGCCATTTATAGTGTTTATATTTGATGCACTTTAGGAGATTCTTAAAATTTTCATATGGTTTCTTCATATGAACAGCATGGCCAAGCAGAATCGATGGTTAAATTATTTCTGAAGCATAGCAGAACAGCTTTTAAGCATAATGTTGAGCCATCTGTGAACAATTTCCATTCTTCTGGTTTGTGATTCAAACCGAGGGCTCTGAATAAACCATTTATGTCCTTGCAAAAATTTAAACTTTCTTCGTTGTCAAAGAATGGCATCAAATCTATTTGACAAGTATGAAAATGAGTTATCACCACACTGTTAACGAAAAGATCTAACTAGTCTACCTTATTTTTGGTAAATCTAGGTCTCTCATTAGATCGTTTAATTCGGTGTGGTGTAATATGTGAGGCTGTCTAGGTGAAACTGGATGTGTAATCAGGATCCAGAGAGGCTGACTGCATGTTTATTACATGACAAATTTCGGTACTTTTGTCCGAGTCAGAGGTTTAGGTTTCAAGCAGTTTGGGAACTGGCAAATCATCACTATGGAGTATTGGTCATATAAGTGGTTAGTATATTTAGATACATTATAATGGTCTTTTTCTTAGATACACCTGTTCCCTGACCTACAGGAGCCACCATGCATAAATAGCAATCACTCACATGATCTCAGGGCTCTCTCCACATCATTGGGACTGCAAAGAGCATCAGTATTTTTTTGTGTGTGTGATTTCACCACTTTTGCAGACCAGAAGCTTACGAATTACAGTACATGTGTGGG